AACACTTAGGTGTTAGCAGGTCTTCTATAAGTTGGGTTCTTGTGCATTTTCAAAGATATAGTTGTATTGAAAAACTTCCATCGCTTTTAGGAAACTATGTTCTTTAAATATAAACATGAATAATATAAATTATATCCAAGTTTTAATGAAAGAAAAACCTGACTAGTACTTGTATGAATTACAATCCAAGATGGAGCTTTGGTTGGGACGTAACATTAGTCTTACAACAATTTGGAGGGCTTTGAATATATACACAAAAAGATAATATTTCATATATTTATATATATATAATTTTATTTTATAAATTTTTAGCAATTTTATAAAAGGCTCTTTCGTATTAATAGCTCCTGATTCAGACTCTTTCATGTTAATAATATCCAATTTAGAATCTTTTTCACTATTAATTTCTAAATCAGTTGCGTTCACTTCAAACAAGTCAGGTAACTTAATAAAGATTCTTTAATTGTTAGATCTACTGTTTTGCCTTGATTGTGTTGATCATAATTTTTATCGCATTTTTGACAAATATTAATTAAGTCTTGATCTTTTGGAATTTCGACTTTAGTTGAATTTTTAGTCCAATTGACAAATTCTTGATCGTATTTTTGTGTTGGGGAAAAAAAAATTCTGTAAAAAATTTCTATTAGTAAAATATACTGTCAGAAATATGTTGGCTTATAGAAAGTAGTTCTAGCTTTTATAAAACTTGATAACCAATCACAAGAAGAATTAATAACTTTATATAAAATATCAAAAAGTAAGTTTATTGAGATTACTGAGACTTGTGCCTAACGTTTTAGACTTTCACAAAGAATAAAGAGTAAAAGACTAGCTAGTGAAAAATATAACAATAAATTTTTCTCACTGGATAAAGGAGTACTACATGGAATATGGTCTTTTAATAATACCACTAGATTAGTACATAGTGAGGAAAAGTCATAGATTTTTTTGAAATAAACACAATTTCAATATTAGTGAATTAACATTATTAAAAATATTCTATACAAAAAATCAAATAGATTTATCACAATAGACAGATGAAAATAAAAAAGCCATCTCACCGTTCGTTTCGGTATGTCTTGTCGAGAAAAAGAGATATTGAAATTATGGGGTCGGGAAATGGTATTTCATAAAAGCAGGTTTCGGGAAAGTAAGAATCAATGCTTTTTTTCAGGTTATTAGATGACCTAGAAATAAAATAGCTGTAAATTTAGTAAACCATCCTTTGGTAAAAGAGCTTTTAGTAATATATTTTCAAAGAAATAGAATGTCAGAAAAATTTACTATTCGGAAAAATAGTATGTTAGTAAAATAGATATTCACCTTTTTAATATTCGGTGAAATGGAAATTGTAGATAAATGGCTTATCAATAAAATTTATTTTTGATAAAATAAGACTTTCAGAATTATAACTTGTTAGTAAAATGGGATGTCAATATTGTGAATTCAGTGAAATAGTATTTTATTAAAATTGATTTCGGGAAGTTAAACCATAACCAATAATTACATATTTATTAATATAATATAAAGATAAATTTAAATAGTCTTATATCAAATATTATTCTATTAATTATATTTGAATTGGTTTTTTTTTTGTTGTAAGAATAAAGAAGTTTTACTAGATTTTATGGTAAAACCGTTTTATGTAGTAAATAAAAAAATCTCTAATTAAGTTACCAAAATATTGAATTTATTTATTTTAATCATACAAATTTAGGTTGTATTTAGCATTTATGCAAGCATTAATAATTTATTTTTTCTTTGTATTATGTTTTTTTAAATTGCTTCTTAAATTTATTAATATTTTAATTATGTTATATTTAAAAAATTGCTAATTTTAATAAAATATCCTATTTAATATTTAAATTTTTGCTAATAGCTATTAATTAAAAAGTGCTAATGAAAAATTTTTTTTATATAATACTCAAATATAACCTTACATAGATTATTTGGAGTTCTAGTACTACTATACATACATATATACTATACTACATATGTACTGTATGTACTATATGTACCGTATTAACCAAAAACTTAAATAATATAAAGATCCTTTTTACAGGCACTACTCCGACTCCTTGGATCGTTGAAATAATAAGATTGATCTTGAAGGAGGAAACACATTAGCAGAGGCCTTTAGTAAAAAACATATCTAGACCTCTCTATATTTTAAATATAATCAGCTTGGAAAAAGGCAGTAGCAAAAACCTTTGCAGAAGTACCGCCATGATATTTTTAATAAACAGTTTAAGACTTTATAAGAATACTACAATTTATCTGTTTTTTTAAAGTAACGTCTATGTTCTTAAGAAGAGAAAGCAGTAACAACACTTTGTATAATGCTGCTTTAACCTATCTAAATCTTAGAGATATCGACTTAAGTAGCTTATGGAAGCTTTTTATAAGAATACTATATTTATGAATCTAAATATTAAGAATAACAACTATTGAGAATAGCAAGCTTAGCTTTAAAAGAGAAAGTGTAGAAGTTCTTTATAATAATAATAAATAATATTCTGACTTCTTTAATCTTAGTGAAATTAACATAATTCTGAAGTTAGAAAGTATAGGTATAAACTTTATTAGAATACCACTTTATTTTTCTAATAACTAACTTGGTTTGGCGGAGGCTTCAAGATTCATTAAATATAGTACATAATTTTTAAAAGAGAATGATATAAAATATTTGTAAATCTAAATAAATTAGACTAGCTAATGAAAGATAAATAGCAAGAAGCCGAATCAACCAATACCTTTATTTCTCATGATATTCATCTGGAATTTGTGTTATGGTTAAGACAGATTCTGTGTTACTAGATGCACCTCGCAACCATTTAAAAAAATGCAAAACTACTATAGATCTTTAATTTTAGCAACTCAAAAAAAAAAAAAAAAAAAATGCCAAAAGGAAACTTTAAAAAACAACAAGCAAAAGTCTCACAAAAAAAACACCAACAATGGAACACCTGTGAAAAATTAATAGTTATACTTTATCAAAAAAATGGTCATAGTATTCGGGCAACAGCAACCAAATATGAAATTGAAGAAAAAAATATATAACTTGATGCGTATAGTATCCTATATTCAACGACTTAATATTGAGGCATGACTCAAGTATCCACAACTTGAAGATGAACTTTTAGAGTGGTTCTGTGAATTAAGAAAGCAGCTGAAAACAGTAACTAGATACATGATTAGTGCAAAAGCTCGCAGTATTGCTACTAAACAAGAATACCGTACTTTGTATCCTGATATTTATGAATGTAAATTTTCTCATAAATGGGTAGATGGTTTTATGTCCCGCCATTCGTTAGTTAATCACAGGCATACTACAGTTGCTCAACAGTTGCCCAAGGAATATATTGAGGATCAACAAAATTTTTTATTTTATGTTTTGTATCTGCGAACTGAATATGATTACCCTTTAAACTTAATTGGAAACATGGATAAAACCCCTATAGCATTTAATATACCAAATAAAACAACTGTTGAGGAGTGTGGAACATGAACCGTTTCAATTCTTACAACAGGCCATGAATGTACCTGTTTCACAGTAACTCTTGCTTGTCTTGCAGATGGTACTAAATTTCTGTCACTTGTTATTTTTAAATTAGTAAATGTGCCCCGAGAACAGTTTCTAGATAGTGTATATATATATGCAAATTCAAGTGGTTGGATGAATAAGAAAAAAATAATATGATGGCTGGAGAATGTGTGGCATCGAAGAGTTATTTTGGGCTCAAATCCACATTTACTCCTTGTTCTTGATTTATTTGCCGGTCATACTATAGACTCTGTAAAGTGTCATTTTAAAGAAAAAAATACGGATATTGCTGTTATTCCCGGTGAGCTGACAACCACTGAATGTGTCTTTAAATAAAGTATTTAAAGCAAGGGTTAGTTGTAAAGTTAGCATGGGTGTGTTATAGGCACAAAAATTTTTACTTATAATCATGCTTTTATTATATAATTTTTTTTTTTTTTTTTGGTTGAATCTATCGCTCAACTCTTATTTCTGGTTCTAATTAATGTGTTATCAGATTTGGTTGAATTTATATTAATTGCATAATTCCAATAGCATAAAATTAAATTACTATTTTATTAATAGGTTTGTCATATATACAGCCAGTAGATAGATGAAACTATTAAGGAATATATACTAACAGGTAAAATCAAATGTCCATCATATTTGCTAGTAACAAATTGGATTAAGGAAGCATGGGATGATATTGATCTTGCTATGATACAACGATCATTTAAATGTTGCGGAATTTCTACTGAAATGGATGGCTCTGAAGATAGTTCAATTTTTAATTTTGGAAAGGTTTCAGGTGAAAAAGGAAGAATTGGTATCGAAGAAGAAGAAGAAAGTAATAAATTAAGTCCAGAAAGCACAGAAGATGCAGAAGATAATGAAAGTGATCAAGAATATGAGTATTGTGAACACTATAAAGATAAAGGAAATTATGTTAATGTTTGAAATTAATTAACTATAAAATATAGATCAAAAGCGGTTGTTTAGTAAATTTGAAATGGAAGATATACACAATGAAATCACCAAACACATATCTCTAGGTTGCAATATTTCACTACCAAAAATTGTAATATTGGAATCCGGTGATCCACCCAATTGCAATAATAATGTTCATATGATATATAAAATGTATTACAATAATTTATCTCTTGGTAATGATAAACATTTATATATTATATACGATCAGACAATTTTCGAAAGATTAATTTCCTATAATAAAAATCACAATGATGTTTGATTTCTTTTGGGGCAATGGCACATATCTAAAAATATATGCTGTACTTTGATTATAATATTTTCTGGGTATGGAATATTTAAACTTGCGACAACTTTAGAGTACAATATCTAGAGAAGTTTGAGCATGTAGTAGATTATCGTGCAATGTATTGGGTTTTAGAATTGATTTGGGTAGCAGTCGGGATAGCATTGTGTCAATATGATAAAAAAGAAAACAATGAATAATATTTTAAATAGTAATAATTATCTAATAAAAATATAGTATCTCTTCTTCTGCTAGACAGGATATTTTATAGGCTATAAAATCAGAATTAGAAAAGGAAATTACAGAATGCAGATGGAAAATTTGGCTGCATTTGCATCTTTTTTCCTTGCAGCTAGAAAGTTTAAGTATGCAAGTTCCATAGCACACTTTTTGGTTCAAATTAATAATAATTTGCAACTACAAAAAATATTAGAAATAGCATGTTTAGTAAATTTTACAAGTGAAAGACATTATTTTGCTTTTGACGAAGTACTTGAAACATATAGTATAAAATTCATCAAACAAAATATAACTGGTAATATTACTAATCAAGAGACTATGATGTTGATGATTAAAGCAATTTAGAGTGAAAGAGATTGCCTATCAATGCTTCTTGCAGAATATGTTGATGATATTGTAATAAGCCAAAATGCTTGTACAATCAAGTCATATAAAGATTCACTTTGGTCTCTAGTTGCAAAGCTTTTATCTGCTTTTGATCATTCAAACCCTGCAATGTATTATTTATTTAAAGATGTGCCAGAAATTAGCAAAGAGTATATTAAGAATGTTTTTTCTTTCTATGAGACTGGAAAACTGTATTTTCAAAAGGTGCTTGAGGAGGATGTATATAAAACTAAGCTCTAAACTTCTGAATATTAAGTGCAAAATATAAATTATTTTACTTATGCACAACTTGAAAGCATAAAAAAACAAAAACAAAAACTTAAACAAGTAGATAACCTTAATAATGACCTAGTTGTTTAACAGAATACTTTAAAATTACAACAGGTTTCTTCTTTATCAAAATGTTCATGCCGCACTACTACAAAAGCAGAAAGTGAAATACTTGCACAATTATTTGAACCAGAGGGAGAATTGCTTAAAAATAAAATACTGGAAGTGCTATCAAAGCTTGGTTCAGATTGAACAGAAGAGAGAGCTAGACTGTATTAAAAAAATAACTGATGCAAGTATACTCAAGAATAAAATAGCATTAAATTATTATTTGAATATAAAGATTTAGAAAATAAAAATTAATAAAATTATAATTTTTAAATTACCATAATTCTGTTATGCATAAGCATCCTTGTTTAGTTAAAATCCTCAAAAAAATCTATTTGATCTTAACAAAAAAGATTAAAGTAATCCGAAATGACTTCTAATTTACTTTATTAAAAAGTACTCTCCAAACAAATGTCTAAAAGTTACAACTTAAGTGCCTTTGCATAAATAAAAACCTTAAAATTCTCAAAAAAATTTATTTGATTTTAACAAAAAAGATTAAATAACTCAAAATGACTTCTAATTTACTTTATTAAAAAGTACTCTTTAAGTGAATACCTAAAAGTTACAACTTAAGTACCTTTGCACAAATAATAAACTTTGTAATGCTTTTTATTTGCCACTGTTAACAAAGTAAAACTAGTCTTACTTTACAATATCTAAATAAGAATCTTTCTATTTGTGTTAAAAAATTGCGATTTTTAGGCCTGATTTATTATACAAGAAAATAAAACAATATCTCTTAAGCTGTAGAGTTCGTGTAACAATTTTAGCTTAAAAATAGCATAAATTTAGTTATAATCTATTTTTTTTAATAT